AAACCAATTATACCAGACTTTCTAGGAAAAGGACCCACTATCGGCATTTTTTAAAAGTCTCCTCTCCCCCAGGTAATTCCAATGTGCAAGCAAGGCTGAGAATTAGTCCAACTCCTCTCATCAGCGAGGCAAGTGAGGAGCTGGTGGGTGAAGTGCCAATGTCGTCAGAAGTAACACCTCTCCGTTCCCAGCACAGGAAAAGAGCAGTGGGGAGGGGGGCCGCAGAGACACTGAGTCCCTCTCTGGCCCTTGGCTGTCGATTGGTGGAAGGCGGCAGGGGAGGGGTGGTATGATAGGGAACGCTTCTGATAACCACAAAGGGTCCTTTCAATCAGCTGAGCCGACGAAACGGCAGCCAGCAGTGACTAAGCCTCCAGTTGGGACAGCGGTGAGGAGCCGGAGCCAGGTGCCACTCCTCAGCTCCACAGAGCAACCTTGCTTTATGCACCACATCTATCCCTTGCGCCTTCTTGGAGGCACTAATGCCGCTCTCTCCATGACGCTCCTGGTGAGGGCCTGGCTGGGAGGGGCCTTAATCCATCCCACTCAACCTCTGGTGGCGGATGTCTTTGCCAGGAGCCTGTCACACTAGGCCAGCCCCCTGGTTCAGAAAGCCCCATTTGCAATGATGGTACCATCCCACCTTCCCTTCACAGTCTAATTATAAACTAAAGCTCCACTGCCTAAGCTTGGGGCCAATATCACAATATCTTCCATGGTGAGGAAACAATCTAACAAGTTGTAAATTACCCTGAAGGGAGGGCCAGGGGAAGCTGGGCCATGTCAGCCCCAACCCTCATTTTTTCCCAACACTTCACTCCCTTCCTCAACCTAGTCTAAAGGGACTGAAATGACGTTCCTCCTACCCGCTTCCCTATTATTCCTCGTTGGGAAAAGATGTTTAAATGTCAGCAGGACACTGCTAGCCAAATGGCCCCTTTGTGCAAAGGCACCCTAGGGCCCTTGTTCTCAAGACACTTTAGCACCACCTGCAGGAGTTCTGTAGTAAATGCATACATGTCTAGGATGCTAATGGTGCCCCTTAGACATAGTGCATTTGTCTGGTGCACAACCAGCACATCCTTAGGCACTGGCTGTAGATGCCAGAATCCTATGTGATGGCCCTGACACTGGCCTGAATTTAATTTAAAAGCTGGGGAAAAGGTGGTGCGTGTGCACATCTGGTAAAAGTCATTGGTAGGGCTGGACGTTCCCTCGCCCTTCTGCCGTGTGCAGGAGGAACCCCGGCTATTAAATAGAGCTGAATAATAGTACTTAACAGCTGAATAATGACGTTTAAAAGCTAAAAATGGAGGGATCTCAGGGGCTCCTGGCATCCCCCGCCTCCCTGCTGCTGTGGCAAGGGCAGGCGGCGGGGGTACTGTGAGCCTGCTGGCCTCTTGGCTCCTCTTGGCCAGAGAATGCCAACACAAGAGTAACCCCTCGTGGCGTTCTGGGAGTGCGGGCTTTCATCTGGCGCCTTTTTGTCTGACTGTTTACCAACTGAACGTCGGGCTCAGAGCACACTGCAGAGGAACGTCCTGTCCCGGGCACACTGCCTTCACATCTCCCTTCATGGGGGTGAGGCTAGAAAGGGCAGAGAGAGAGGCTTTTCCTTTAGCACACTCTCTTCCATTTAGAAAGGGCCTGCTCACGGTGCAGGACGCAGGAGAGCCCTCTGCAGCCGTCCCGTCTTGCAGAATTCCACCCCAACCTCATGAAGGAAGTAAACTCACCCTCTTTTCAGTGAGGAACCTAAGGTTCAAAGCGGGCGAGTAACATGCCCTAAGTCAGCTCAGGTAAGGGACATAGCCCGAATTTAAATCAGGTCTGGCTGACTCCGAATCCCACGTGCTTTGCACTACCTGTCTACCTGTGAATAGCATGTAGCAAGGCTGCCTTTTTGGAGCAGCACATCATGTGATAAGTATGGCGTCATAGGGCCCAGCGAGAGGCCGAGAGGCGCGGTAGAAGAGGAGGTGGTTCTGCCAAGAGGACTTGAGACTCAGCCCCTGACCAGGGCCACTGAAGCAGAAGGCTGCCTGGGTACGTGTGGAGGCGGCTTCAGGACAGGTCTATAAACGCGTGTCGATGGTGGGTCTGTGCTGGTTTCAGCCTATCAATGGCCAGTGTCGTGGCTAGAAACTGTAGTCCTCATGACAATCTCAAGACATCCTTTAGCCATGACCATTCGGAAACTTAGTAATGGCTATTTCTCATAGGACCTGGGAATTAATTGCACAGCACACCTGGGGTCACACGATGAGGCTGTGGGGGGGGGGCGGGGAGAGAAAACAGGCTCCCACGGGCCTGGGTTTCTACTTTTATTGGGGTTGAGGGTGGGGACCAAGGATTACTCAGGCTTTCTCTTCATGACTTAAGAAGGAATATACCTGTCAAAAGGATTTCTTGTGGTTATGGGACCAAATTTATCATCAGAATCTAGCAGCCATTTTTTTACAAGGGGCCTCGCACACAGGCTGTATTTTAGGGAAAAGCCACACACTGGGCTGTCAAGACTCCTGCACTGCGTTCCGGTGGGCTGAGCCAACCCCTATAAAAGAGGTCCTGGAATCATATTTCCACCAATGGTCTGAGATCTGCCCCATCCAATCAGAGCTGTACCGCTATATCCTCATTTGCAACATAACCAATCAGAATGTGCAATTCTGAACAATCAGGGCAGTGCTGTGTGGACCAATCAGACCGTGCGAAGTTGGATTTCTCATTTGCATCGAGTGAATTTCAACTATTTGTGCAATTTGTATCATTATCATTACTATCATCATTATTATTGGGGAGTGTAGGTCGCTGGCATAAGGAACACTAGTGCAGTTTCCTTCATTCCTGTACCAATCCCTCAGACAGTTCTCTTATGATTCATTTTCCCCTTTCAGGGTAACCTTAGGAGTTTCCTTTCTCCTTATTTTACCAGAAAAAAAAATATTGACGGGAAATATGCCAGACCCTCAGAACTCTAATCATGAACCTGGAACTATGGTCTCCCGTCCAGGCGGCAGAGCAAATACCCTCAGTTATAGGAGGCAGCTGGAGGGAGGGAGTCCCCAAGAGGACCGGGAGCCCTGTGGTTTGGCGGGTGTCCAGGGGGTGGAGCCAGAGAGTTGCGGCTGCTTTGCTGACCACTGACAAGGGCTATCAGCTCCTCCAGGCGGGCGGGAAGTCCAGGGAGAACGACTGATGACATGGGCACAGCTTTCTGTGCTCTGAAGCACACCTGGCGTACATTCCTCCCATACAGAACATGCCGCATAACTGACATTTCAGAAGAATGAGGAAGAAATGGATTTTTTTTTCACTTCAATTTTAGATTCCTCTGCTATGGAATGTTTGCCTCTGGACTGTTTTAAAATTTATTGTCATTAAAGTATAGTTTGTGTACAATCTTACATTGATAATACTAGTTCCACGTGTGCAATATAGTGATACAACATTTTTAGACCTTACAACGTGATCACCCCACTGATTCTGGTCATCATCTGTCACCGTGTGCACTTATCACGATGTTGTTGACCATGTAGCCTCTGGACTTCTAAAGGGCAGTGGAATTTGTCTTGGGATTCTCACCTAGATAGAGAGACGGTGCAGGGAAACATTTATATATTTTTTTCTCCTCGCTGGGGAAAGGGCAGCTTGGTTTCCAAAATAAACAAATTGTCTACCCCTTGTACCCCACACCCTCGCACCACGTGCCTCGGACCGTGCTGGGTTCTTACACCTGTGCAGAAGCTGTGCCCGGCCTACGAGAAAACGCCCCCTCCCCCCAGGTGCAGTCACTTTGCTCCAGAGTCCATTGCATAGCAACCTGCCACCTTGGTTTTTAAAGTGATACTCTTTCGAACTTTCCCAAACATATTTCTGGGTAAGGGTAGGAGCTACTGGAAACAGTATAGAGAAGAAAAAGATGAATTTGAGTAGGATTATGACTGAGCAAAGACCTCAGAATGTCATGGAAAAGATGTTGGCACCAAACCAAGAGCAGAGAGAGAGAGAGAGAGAGAGAGAGAGAGAGAGAGACATCAGGTACAGGACTGGGGACCAGTCTCTCAGCACTGCTTTGGCACTGGTGCCTGAAGTGGGAGGAGAGAGCTGAGTGCACGGATATGCGGAGTGGGGTTCTGACTATAAAACTGTTGGGTGCCTCCCTCCCAGCACTGCCTCCTCCTAAGCACCCTCCCTCCAGCAGAGCCCGGCCGGGCTTTATCAGCCAGTGCCTTCTGCCCAGGAAGCCAGCCGGAGTGTGAGTACCGTCCTTATTTCTATTCACTTCTGTTGGGTGCTCGGTCCACTTTAAAATTTGCTCTTTTCCCCTTTTCTTTGTTTGAATGGAAAAATGTTTCAGAGAGTCTGGAACTGGGTAGAAACAGCAAAGTCAGAGTTTTGCTAGACTAGAAAGCAGCTTCCCAAAGCCCCAGGCCTCTCCCTGGAAGCTAGGAAGCCAGGCCTTTGTTTCTGGTCTCTGAAGCAGGGTGGGGGCACAGCACCCGAGTTCCACGTGGAAGAGGGTCTGCAACGAGGTGTCTCCGGGGCCTGCTGGGTGACTGAGTCCATCGCTGCTGTGCGCGTTTCGGGCTGTGCTCTGGAAATAATGAAGTTAAGTTGGAGGCATAACTGACTCCAAAAAAAAGTGGGCTGCTGGCAATGGCCCGTTCTAATCTGGTTTTATGGATCTTCCTGCATGTGCTGTCCTACGGCAGGGGGAGTGCTCAGCTCCAGGAGGGCGCGCTGGCTCCAGGAAGCCGTGCATTTGGCAAGTTCCTTGCAGCTGCACTTTCTACTGTGGAATTCAGACCTCCAGGCTGCTAGGAGTAGTGTGTTCCCAAGAGAAAGGCGTTTTAATCAGGAGGCAGGAATAACTGACAGCATTCTCTTTGTTTCTGCTTACAGCTTTAAGGACAACGGAGCACCTCCCACCACTTAATATTAAAAACTACCTAAAATACTAAAATACTAAAGAGTATTGTAAGTACCAAATAAATGTCAATGTTGAAAGTGTCTTTAATATGGAAGAGCCTGAATATTTAAATTCTTTCTTCTGTATCCATATCCAAAACTTTGTACTTTTTTTTTAAGTGACACCGGCATACCTCGTTTTACTGCACTTCGCTTTATTGTGCTTTGTGTAAATTAGGGGGGCGAGGTGGTGGGTGGTTAACAAATTGAAGATAAGACTCTCCACTAGAAAATAGATTATGACTCACCGAAGATTCAGATCAGGATTAGTAATTTTTTAGCAATAAATTGTTCTTAATTACGCACATTGTGTTTTTATAGTTAATAGACTATTCCATGCTTACTAGACTATAGTGTGGTGTAATCGTAACTTCTATATGCACTGGGAAACCAAAACAATTGTGCAACCTGCTTTGTTGAGCTATTCACTTTATTGCGGTGGTTTGGAACCACACCTGCAATATCTCCAAGTTATGCCTGTACTTGAGACATAGAAAATTGGAGACTTTTGGGTCTCTCTAATTGCACAAATTTCTAATATATGCTGACAATAGAACGAGTTTTATTTTGAATAATAAAATGGGGAGTGTTGGTTGGATTGAAATTCTGATATTGCCTGTATTAGAATGATGAGCACTGTTTTGTTTCACTGGCGATCTAGGCTTTCTGACTCCTGCCAGAAAGCAGTTTCCAGAACATTCTCAGGACGTTAAGCTCAGCACACACCAGCCTTGGTGTGGACGTGTCAGTGATGCAGGAGAATGAGGCTTGCTTTGAGGCACAGGAGATGTTTATTTGTCAGAACAGCCACTGATTCCTTCCAGGGCACAGGGTAAAACTGGGGGTGGCCAAGCCCTCTGTCACTGTTCAGCCCCCATCTATCTCTGAGTTATTTCAAGGCAGCCATGGAGACAGGCTGAGCCTATTACCCCACTGAGCCCTAGCGCCTGCTGCAGGCTGCACTCAGAAGCTGTTCTTCTCTGGTTGTTGAATAGACTCTTGGGTGGTGCTAACGTGCTCCAGACTGAAAGACAAAGAACCGGCAAGGCTTTCTATTCCGTAAGACTGACTGCTGAGTGAACTTGGAGGGTCCCCACTCTGAACCTCAGTTTTCTCTTCTACAAAACGAAGGCTTGAACTATGCACTCTCTCAAACCCCACCTCGCTCTCAAATTTACGGTCTCTTGGCTCTAAGAAAATGGTGATGTTGAGCTCAGAGGATGTGATTCTCCAAGATGTGCGTGATTTTGGTAGTGGGGGGAAGGCAGGAGCCCTGCAGGGGCAGGAGGGCTACGTGTCTGCTCTGATGAAATGTGATGGTTTCTGTTATCTCTCTCTTTCCTTTTTCCTTCTTTGTTTTTTTAACCGTGTATGAGATGAGTCTTACCATTGCTCTTTCTCAAATGAAAATATGTACAATGTAACCCATAGACACATCAGTTTGGTACTTAACAAACCAGATGGTTTAACCACAGGTAAACACACATGCACACAGTTATTTTCTAAGCCGTGACAGGGATATATTCCACAACTGGAGATGGGTCTGAATGACTCTAGTAGAGTGTAAGTCCTTGAGTTTCATACTGACGCAGTAGAAGAAAGTAAAAATTAAATAAGAGGGAGAGAGAGAAAGAAATGCCACACATACAACTTTTCTGGAACTAGGAAGGGAGAATTATATCCTTGGATGCAACGGAAGTTCAGAAAAATAAATACAAAGCTGCCACACTTGTAGAATTCAACTAAAAATTGTTTATTATTAACAAGATGATGTCCCATATTTAACAATTGTTATTCAGATACAAGAAAAAAAACAACACCACCATTTAGCATTCTCTTAGACTGGGCTTTCTCTGTGCCTTAAGTGTAGCCAGTATCTTATTACAGAAAGTCAGAGTCCGCACCACACCTTCTTCTCACGTTTGTAAAGAACAAGACTGAGGAAATAGTTGCCTGGGCCTCTGTCTCCAGGATGGAGCCCTAACCGTTTGGCCTGAAGCATTTAGAGCCGGAAGCCCACCCCTCCCACTGGAGCCGGCTTCAGGTCTGCCAACCTCCTGGTAGTGGAAACGCGCCGCAGAACAAGATCTGTGTCGCTGTCTTTGCAGAATGGGTTGCTCCATTTTTTGTTTGTTTTTGTTTGTTTCGTTCTAAGCAATGTAAAATGAACATCCGGTGTGTGTGGTCAGCTCATTGTCAGCTCATTGCTGATGGAGCGCTTGGCTGATGGAGAAGCGGGCCCTCTCCGTTAGAGATCTCAGTCGGGGGCCACGTCTCCACCTAGAAACACCCCTGGCACGCTCCTGCCTCCCTCCAGCTCGCAGTTCACCTGCCCGGCAGAACCAAGGCGCGCGTCCTGCTGATTCTTGTATTTTTTGCCCTTTGTCATATACGGAGAGTGTGGAGAGAAAGGAGGATGAATGGACGGGCTTTGACTGGCGGCGCTGGTGACGCCTCTGCTGTTCCTCTTTGGAGGAACCCTTTTGGAAATAAAGCTGGTGAGGCGACACGCGGAGGCTTCTCCCGGCTAAAGCTGGCCTGGGCCCGGGGGCCGCCGGAACAGGTATGTTCCTCCTGCAGCCTCTGCCTCCGGGAGCCTGGGCACCTGCGCTCCTGCGTCTTTCCTGAGTGGAGCCTGGGCAGTGGGTCCTCACGCTCTGCTGAGCGCACGGCTTGGGCTGCCCGGATGTGCACGGGGCTGGGTCCAGAAACTCACAGGGCAGTTCTCATGGTTCAGAGGCTGGATGGGTGAGCTGCTGGATTTGGAGAATGACGGGAAAGCTGGGAAAAACTAGCCTGGGGATTTTATCCTGCTTCTATTTTATTAGGGTTTCTTACTTGCATTTTCTTGTCCTGCCTTCTGTTAAAGGTTAATGGCCGACTTAGTTAGATTTGAGAAGTTTGAGCATCAGTGGATGATCCTTGCTCCATTGTCTCCCATCGCCTTTCCAGTTAGGCTGTGTGGATTCTTAAAGTTCCCTAAATAGACAGAGTCTAGGGCAGTGGTTCTCAACCTTCCTAATGCCGCGGCCCTTTAATACAGTTCCTCATCTGGTGATCCCCCAATTGCATTGTTACAAATTGAACATAATTAAAGCATAGTGATTACTCACAAAAACAATATGTAATTATATATGTGTTTTCCGATGGTCTTAGGCAACCCCTGTGAAAGGGTCGTTCGACCCCCAAAGGGGTCGCGACCCACAGGTTGAGAAACACTGGTCTAGGGTGATAAAATTGGAGGATGACCTGCAGCCTTTAAGCTACTGGCTTCTCATAACCAGTGCTCATGCCTGAGTTCCAGAGCGAGAAGTCAGGGCTCCCAGGGTCTCCAGAAGCTTCTCGTAGTTCCCAACAAATGGTTCCTTTGGCTCCGAATCAGCAGCAGCTGTCTGCTCACCTCAGGAGAAGACTCCTGTGTCGGAGGCTTGGAGGCCCTACCACGCATCCCAGGCGTGGATCCTGAAGAGACAAGTGGCAATAAGCCTTCTTGACGGCGGGCTGCGGGTTGAGATGAAAATTCAGTCTTTATTTACCTTTGGGCGGCTCCACAGGGCACTCAGGCCCTTCAGGTTCCCAATCACGTCGGGCCAGTTATGCTATCAAGTTTCGTATCTGTATCTCCAACATCTCGGTGGCGATGGTGTAGTCCAAGCCTTCTAAAACAAATAAATGTCGGCTGGAAATTTTGAGAACATGAATTTGTTCACCCCAGAATAACCCATATGTTCCCACTCATTTCTGTACTCGATGGAAAATGCCCCTCTACTGGTTTCCTTCCATGCTGATCTGAGAAACTCGGGGCGGTTGTACCTGAGCCTTTTGTGGCTGCCCGGGCAGAAGCCTGGTGCCTCCAGTAAGTTGGCCTGGCGTTTAAAACGAGTCACTGTAGCTGAGGAAGGGCTTACCAAGCAATATTTTCAATAATGAGATTTAAAGAGGGAGATATCTGAAAATAAGTGGTAGCCATCACTTAGATTATGAAATAAAAGACAATTTTTTATAATTGCTTACTAATTCAGTTTTACATGTTTAACTCTGGGGCCAGTGAGCTCCATACAGACTTCATTTTGGCTCCTAACCTCCAGCAGTTTTCAACTGAAGAGATTCTTAATGCAAAGGTTCGTTGTATGTCTCCCAAATGCAAGAATCTAACACTATTTTGTCAAAACAAAATACCTTAATCTAGAATGTGTTCCATAAATACCTTCTACTTTGCGTTATGATTAATGGTTCACCATTGTTTGAAAGCAGGATGGTTAAACAGTGAAATAACACCATGAAAGTACAATAGTTATGTAATAAAAAGTCAGTTACCCACATTGATTTCCATATTAGGGTTAATAAAAGGCAAAACTAGAGTCGGGATTGAAGGAAAACAAAGCATAACTTTTCTATCTGTTAATAGCTCTTTGTTGGCCATGGTAAATGGAACAATGAAGGGGCCAAAAATACCCATGAGAACCCCTTATCCACAGCCTGGCCACAGGTAGAAGGTGAGCTGGTTTATCTACACGGGCTTTGGTATTTCTGTGGTCGTGTCTTATGTGCCTGTGGCTTCAGCATTCCACAGTTATGCCTTCTGGTTTTGGTGTTCACCTACTTCACACTAACCTGGTTGTGCTCTTGGCCTTTCTTGCATGCTCCAGGTGGTTGTGCCATTGTCTTCTCCCTTTGCCTACCTCTGAGATGGCATCATTGGTATTCTCCTGTGTCTACCATGAAACCAGTTCTGTCTGCAGAGTACCATATTCTGGTGATGCTGGTGCTTTCCCATTCACACTAATCATGGGGAGGGAAGAATCTCAAGTGAACACAAGCCATGGCTATGTTGTTGTTATTTTCTGAAGCATGTTTACTATAATTCACCCTGGACATCCTTCTATTGTACAGTTTTTACATTACAACTCTTCGGTTTTCAACAGCGTGGTCCACTCCCACTTTTCCTATTTTCTATACCTTTGTGTAATGTTACTCTTGCCTGTTTTAGAACATTTAAATAAGAAATTCCAAAAATGCGGAATATCTGAAGTGGTTGCCTGATGTGAGGACATAATCTATATATATATTATTGATTTCAGAAAGAAAGGGAGAGGGAGATAGAAACATCAATGATGAGAGAATCACTGATCAGCTGCCTTCTGCATACCCTCCACCAGAGACCCAGCCTACAACCCAGGCCTGTGCCCTCACCAGTAATCGAACCTGACCTCCTGGTTCATAGGTTGATGCTCAACCACTGAACCACTCGGCTGGGCATATTCAAGTAATCTTTGAATTTGAAGAATGTGTGTGATGGGGTTCCTTAGGCAGCGTTAACACACACAAACTGCTTTTAAAATTTTTCTTATCGTCAAACTTTTCAACATAAAGCCTTTTCCATAAAATTAAGTTTTAATTTTAAAAGGCTATTGGTCTTAGAAAGCAGCTGATTGGTCTGCATCAGTGAGTACCATTTTGTAATCTGATGACTGGCTCCTTTAATTGACAACATGAAGCTTAAGCATGTGATGTTAACTCTTTCTACATTACTATTTGCTTCGTTATGTTAAAATTAACTATTTTTCCAGCCTTTTCCACTAGGCTGAATGAGATCTTTGAGTGCAAGGTATAAGCACTCAATAAATGTTTGTTGAATTAGGAGCCGAACCTTATGAAAATAAAGATAGAACCTTCTCATGATAGCATCAAAGACAGTAATCATGAAAGTAGGATGGAATTTGGGTTTGGGCAATCATCTCCATGATGATATTTCAAGAGGAAAATGGTGATTTCTTAATATCATGAGATGTCATGGTCCAGATGAAATAATGCATTTAAACTCATCCTCTGTGGCTACTGTGACCAGGCCGTATGCTGACCAGCCTGGTGAAACCTGCACGCGGGTGTTTATGAGCTCTGTTCTTTCCTCAAGGGCCTAGGGGAAGAGATAGCCATGGAGGACAGCCCCACTATGGTTAAGGTGGACCGGGGTGAAAACCTGACCTCACCACGTCGAAGGAGAAGGCGCCTTCCCAAGGCTCTTGGCTATGTCACCGGTGACATGAAAGAATTTGCCAACTGGCTTAAAGGTATTTTTGCTTCCATCCCTTGAAGAGATGTGAGAAATGGATTTGGAAGAAATTGCTGAGGCTTCTACTCGTATCTTTAGTTATACAGTCAAACCTCAGTTTTGGAATCTCAGTCTCCACCAAGGTGTTCAGGAGAAAAAAAATGTCTCGGTTGGATTGTCGTAGAACCAAGCTTCGGTTTTGGGCCTGACAACCCTTTCATGCTGATATCTCAGCGTGACAAAAAGCATCTCTCAGGCAACAAACAAAGGAGAGAATGCTTTTGTTGCTGGTGAAAATCAATCATTAGCGCAGTTTTAAAACATAGAGGCCATCAAGAGTGCTAATGCTGCTAAGGGTATGAAAGAAACAATGATCACAGGCAGTTGAAGAGGCAGAAACACTGTTGTTGATTTGGATAAATGACAAGCACTTAGCCAGTGACAGCATTTCAGAGGCAGTGATATGTGAACAAGCAAAGACCTGAAAGACACCACCGGGAGCTGGACCGAGTGCTGAAAGTGATTCCTTTCAGGCTAGAAGGGGATGGTTCGATACATTTAAGAAGTGTTTGTTTATAGATTAAACAATACATTAGACATGTACTGTATAAAAGAAAGGCTAAAACAGTAAATTATTTGGGGGTCTGGAATGGATTAATTCAATTTACATTATTTCTAATGGGAAAAAATGATTCCATTTTCAAACAAATCGCTTCATGAATAGCCTTCCAGAATGAATTAAGTTCGAGAACCAAGGTTTGACTGTATTCACCTACTTTCTAGCTCTTTCCTCCCCATTTTTAAACTTTTTATCTTTTAGCCTGCAAGCCTCTTCAAACTTTTTTTTTTAATGGAGATAGTGGTCAGGGCAGGATCTTGCTTCTATCAGAGAAAGACAACTGGCTCCATTTTATTGTTTCAGTACCTAAAATCTAATATTTTACTGTTGGTAATTCAGTCCTTTGGCTTAAAAGTCTGTACCTCTACGCATGATGAATAAGTGCATTTGACACTTTCTGGAGCTGCAATTCTATTAGGGGCAGCGTGGATTGAGCATAAAGAAATTGGATGCTTAAGGATCTGGGTGCCACTAAAGAGAAATTGTTCAAAGAATATTAAAAAAATGTTTCACCTTCATCAGAGGGGCTTTTGATAATTTTGCTCAAGAGGGCCCTAAACTTGGGGCTCCTCACTGCTTTCTTAGCTCTGCCCTTGTCATCTTTTGCAGACAAACCCCAAGTGCTCCAGTTCTTCGACTGGATTCTGCGGGGCCTATCCCAGGTGGCGCTTGTCAACAACCCCATCAGCGGAATCCTGATTCTGGTGGGACTCCTGGTCCAGAACCCTTGGTGGGCTCTCAATGGCTTTATAGGAACCGCGGTCTCCACCCTGACAGCCCTGATGCTCAGTCAGGACAGGTAGGTGCATCCATCCAAGCCACTCTTCTCACTTCTGAGGACACAGGAGTCGCCCTAATAAAGCCCCACTCCTCCCAGGAGAAACAACCTTTATTCCACAGAACTCTTTATATATGCTTTTATTCATGGCACCTGAATAAGCAGCCAGTCTGAACAATGCCAAATTCTCATAGCAGTACATGGTAACCAGAACTAAGCTACAGGTAAATCCCAGGGGAGATTCTAAAGGGATCTTCTTTAATAATCGATCAATATTTATCATCAACATTTTTTTTTGTTTGGGCAAAAATGCATGAAAAGCTTATTGGCTTAATAATCCCCTTTATATCTTTAGTCCATGAGTTGTTCAGTAAATTCATTCTGCTCAGATTCTAGAGAGATGAATAACCACAAATTTCAAGTCAGCAAGTTCTGACTGTCGTGTTAGGATATCTTCTGAACTATGTGCTAGGTTAGAAATAGCATCCACTTTACAAAGTGTTCTGTCAAGTGGTTACAATGTTTTGTGGCATTTCTAAAAGTAATAAACATAAGGAAATCATCCTATTTGAAAATACATTGATATGTGGTCACACTTCTCTGACAGTCTTAGTATCATTTTACAATAGAACTACTGAATTAAATGTGATTAAAATGTTGAAGATAAAGGAGAAGGAGAAGGAGAAGAAAGAAGAAGAAGGGATGAGCTGACACCCATCAGGGGTGTAGAACACTCCTGACCAACCCGTTTTTCCAGGGAGGCTGCAGGTCTTCCCAGTGTTCAAGGTCAATGCATAATCCCCTGTGGGTTGTCATTACACAACTAAGCTCTTATAGCTCTTACTGTGCATTGCCTAAGAAGATTCTTGGGGAGAGAGTCAGCAAATGCTCCACTTTTGCATCAGCTCCAAGGAGCCTGATTTGTTATCGTAGAAGGTGATTTAGTATCTTAGGTTAAACCCTTTCCCAGTGCATGTCAAGAAATGGTCTTTCCACTTTGGAGGTGTGGTCTCGGGCTGTGCCATAGCAAAGGTTCCTTTACTGCTTTGCTAACTGACCCATTTTCCCTATCGGGTGTATTTTAGAAGACCAGGCATATTCACACGTGCTAGTTTACAAATCTCTTCTCTTCATCCCGGTCCTCAAAGGACAGCATTAAAACAGCAACCCTCTGTTTTAAGTGAATATACATATTCTTGCTGCTTTAACCAGGGTGTTCCACAACTTGTAGGCATTGCCATTAAATTTGTTGACCAAACTAAAGCATTAATTCTGAAAGTCAGTTCTTGAGAGGATATGTCTTTGCATTAGTTCTCCAGTGTCATCATGTTTAGTACCAATTGTGAAGGGGTTATCACTTCCTGGGCTAAATCAATACAAAGTGCATCACCTCCCACAGGGCCTGGGGGATGATGAAAGGTAGACAAAGGACGTGTGAACAGGGATTCCTCCTAATGCTCTCACTCAGCATGACATCATCTTGCTGATCTTGGGTGCCTCCTGCTCCAGTTACCAACAAGCCAAGGAGCTCTCACGAGATCCTCTGCCACCCGGGAGTGTGGCTCACTGGCTGTGTCAACTCCCCCGGGGGCCCCGAATTTGATCTCACCCACTCACTCCATGATCTTCACACCTGTGGCTCATTCAGCCTTGAATGCCGGGCCCTTCATGGTGCCAGGTGTTGCCAATGGCTTTGAGTTCCCAGGTATAACATGGGAACCATTTTGACCAGGAGAGGAAGTGAGGTTACCAAGTGCCCATCAGTAGATGAGTGGATAAAAAAGCTGTGGTGCATTTATGCCACGGAACGCTGCTTTACTATGGAAGGGAAGGAAATCTGGCCTTTTGCAGATGCACAAATGGACCTGGAGAGCATTGTGCTGGGTGGGGTGGGTCAGTCAGATGGGGACAGGTGCCATGTAATTTTGCTTATATGTGGAATCTAAGGAGAGAACAAACTAAGTAACAAAATAGAAACAGACTATCCAAGGGGAGAAGTGTTTGTGGGGGGTGGGGGGGGACTAAGTAAAAAACGGTGAAGGGATTAAGAAAAAAACACCTCATAGACAACAGTATGGTCATAAATGAGGGTGAGAGGAGTCAGGAGAAGGGAGGTAAATGGTGATGGAAATGGCATGACTTGGGGTGGTGAATGCACAATATGCAGATGATGTATTATAGAACTGTACACCTTAAACCTATATAATTTTATTAACCAATGTAACACCAATAAATTCAAATTTAAAAGAACCTATTCCCTTAGAATCTGCTAAATCTCATGACATGCAGGGCCAGCAGTCAATGCAAGAAATGTCCAAACCTGTACAAATTTTTATTTGAGCCAAACTAACCACAATTGCCAGGAAACACAATCTCAAGGGATTGAGAGAAATGCGCCAGAAAATGGCAATTTTACCACTTATTTTCTACATTAGAATCAAAAGGGAAGGCCTAAGGGGGTTACATGAAATCCATTGGGGATAGGTTAGGGAGGGGGAAAGAGAGGCCGGGAAATCTCTGGGGTTGGGTAAAAAGTAAAAGGAATACAACGTTTTTTTAAAGATACATACTTCTTTTACTTAGGTGAATATAGAGGATAACATGATAATAACAATGAGGGGATTTGAGGTCTCTGCTTTGGTGCAGTGTTTGTACCCTGAGGGGTCTGGAAAAAGAAAATTACCCTGACATTCCAGGGGTATGTTATTGCAGATGCAAAAAGACAATAGACAGGCTCAGTAAAGGTAAAGATTGACCTTTGTTAGAGAAGAACACCACCCTAGGGCATAACCATCTGCCTTGCAACTGCTTTTAGTTAGAAAGTTTTCATTTCAGACCATCCTATGAGGCTACTTTAGGTCTCTGAGTTTGGAGGCATCTCTCCCTCCCCCAGACAGGCCTCCCCTAAGCTTGTCAGGTTTAGTAAGTGGCCCCTTTTTCGTCTATAGGACAAGACCTTTGTTAGAGAAGAACACCACCCTAGGGCATAACCATCTGCCTTGCAACTGCTTTTAGTTAGAAAGTTTTCATTTCAGACCATCCTATGAGGTTACTTTAGGTCTCTGAGTTTGGAGGCATCCCTCCCTCCCCCAGACAGGCCTCCCCTAAGCTTGTCAGGTTTAGTATGTGGCCCCTTTTTTGTCTATAGGACAGTATCACCACAGGTCTCTACGTGGCCATTTCCGTGAGAGGTAATAGTAGTAAGAGGGGGAATGGAATACGGGGTCTGGAATGGAAGAACAAAAAGGAAGTGAGGTTAAATGCTCAGAAGCAAAAAGGGCCCCAAGAAAAAATTAGGTGCTAAATATGCACCAAATCAAATGGAATACTTTGCCAAGTAAAAGAAAAGTAACTGTCTTTCTTTGTTCTAACTTAGAAATCTTTGTTTGGAGACAACAAAAATGGAAGCACAGGAAGATAAAATGTATGTTAAATTGTAAAGTCAAAGACACTATGAAAGTGAATTTTCATTTCAATAATCTTACACCTGACCAAGAAAATCAGATTTCAAAAACAGTTTCATCTAAAAGCTTTATTCAAGTCAGAGGCCCTTAATAGTTTCAAAGAAATAATAACTTCCCGAAGGAAAGGCGAAAGGAACCAGAACTGGTTTGGCGAATCGTTAGCTCTGACGCCTCTGTAGGGGGCTGTTCTAAGTGTACATTTGTATTTTTTCACATTTTTAGTAGTATTTGGCTTCTATAGACTTGGAAATAGATTTCTAAATATAATCTCATTTTCTAATGTGAATATGACCTGGACTTTACAAGTGTCACTAGTGCAAGCCCAGCCAGTGTCCACCTGGAAAATGTCCACGCTGTGCCTCTCGCCCGCAGGTCAGCAATCGCAGCCGGGCTGCACGGCTACAACGCCACCCTCGTGGGGATACTTATGGCCGTCTTTTCAAACAAGGGAGACTACTTCTGGTGGCTGCTATTCCCTGTCTCTGTGATGTCCATGACTTGGTAAGTTACAACTGGTCTTTGAAATGCTTTCATTATAAATTATAGGGGAGGGGGTGGGAATGGGGAATTACTGCTAATGGGTACAGGGCTTCTGTTTTGCAAGATGGAAAATGTTCTGAGGCTGGATGGTGGTGCTGGTTGTACAACAATGTGAGTGTACTTAGTGCTCTGTAAGTGCACACTTTAAAATGGTTACGTGATAAATTCCGTGTTATGTATATAATGCAACTTCTAGAGAAATCATTTTTAAAAATTTAGATTCGGATTGTGTCTCTTGGGAAAAGGAAACATTAAAACACACTGGTACATATGGCCCCTCATACCACCTCTCCCCTTTCCCCAATATTCTGATGTAATCAGTCTTGATTGGGGTGTTGCCTGGGCAATTGAGAGTTTTAAAAGCCCCAGAAGTTTCTAAAGTACAATCAATGTTGCCCTAGCCGGTTTGGCTCAGTGGATGGAGCGTCAGCCTGTGGACTGAAGGGTCCTGGGTTTGATTCCGGTCAAGGGCACATGCTGGGTTGCTGGCTCAATGCCCACTAGGGGGTATGCAGGAGGCAGCCGATCAATGATTATCTCTCATCATTGATGTTTGTATCTCTCTCTCCCTCTCCCTTCTTCTCTGAAATCAATAAAAATATATTTTTAAAAAAATATAAAGTACAACCAAAGTTGAGAGCCTTTGGCTGCATCAGTGGCCCTCAACCTGCACACGATCGGAATCCCCTGCAGGGCCTGTTGAAACATGGATTGCGGCTCCCATCCCCAGAGGTCCTGAATCGGTTCAACTTGGATGGGGCCTGAGAATTTGCATTTTCTTTTCTTTTTTTATTATGGTTTTACTGATTTGATAGAGAGAGAGAGAGAGAGAGAGAGAGACATCAATGCTGAGAGAGGATCATCGATCAGCTGCCTCCTGCACCCCCCGCCCCTACTGGGGATCAAACCCGAAACCCCAGCATGTGCCCTGACCAGGCATCAAACCTCGATCTCCTGGTTCATGGATCAATGCTCACCTGGGCGGGCAGAGAATTTGCATTTCTAACAAGTTCCCCGATAATGCTGATGTGGCCAATCCAGAGATCCCACTTTGAGAACCACTGTGCCTCTATGAACTCCCCTTACCCACCTGCCCACTTCAAAAAAAATTTTATTGAGGATGGTGTCAGCATCATGGTGGAATGAGGGAAAAGTTACTTACTGAATTCAGTTCCTTAAAAGAAAAAGAAAAAAAAGCCTGAATTCTTCAAATTAGTTTCCATGCTGACAGTGTCACAAATCTTCTTTATTTTTATTTTTTGGAAGCAAACATTTCCTTCTTACTGTAGCATATTTAGAATATAAAATACTAACATCCACACAAATGAGAAGTAAAGCCCACCTTGAACAGAGTCTGCAGGAGAGCCACCTACCCGGGCTGCACCTGCAGGGTGTGGAGGAGAACCTGGCAGCAAAGCCCACCTGCCCAGGAGGTAACTCCCAGCCTACTCTGGGGAACAGGTTCAAGGGCAAGAGTCATTGCCTGTGGGTGCTCACCACACCCCCTCCCACAACCCATGAAATCCAAAGTTCTGATCTTAAAGGGATGGCCCTCTGAGTAAGTCAAGAAGTGAGTGTGCAAAAGAGTCCCAGAGACCAACTAATTCCACCCCCAGTTTACAGTCAAGGACCCTGAGGAGCAAGCAGTGCCTTGCCCAAGGTCACACAGTTCACCTGCTCAAGGACCTAAAGCAGTAATGGCGAACCTTTTGAGCTTAGCGTGTCAGCATTTTGAAAAACCCTAACTTAACTCTGGTGCCGTGTCACATATAGAAATTTTTTGATATTTGCAACAGTAGTAAAACAAAGATGTATATTTTTGATATTTATTTTATATATTTAAATGCCGTTTAACCAAGAAAAATCAACCCAAAAAATGAGTTCACGTGTCACCTCTGACACGCGTGTCATAGGTTCGCCAGCACTGACCTAAAACTCTGTCCCTCTGAGTTTAAGACCTTCTTCATACAGCCCACATCACCTGCATCCTCCCTTGGATAATTGTTTATCTTTTTAAAAAATACATACACTAAAGACTTGTACAGATATAGACAAGTTCAAGATCGTGGTCACCTCTGAGGGGGAGGGAAGGGCATGTGATCAAGTAGGTCACACATGTGGCTTTACCTATGTAAATAATATGTTATTTCCTATGTCTTAAATACTAGAAAAGTGTTTTTGAAACCTAGAGGTTTATAGCTCACTGTAAGCAACCCAGATGTAATTTTTCAAAAGCCAAAGAAACTATGAGTTGATTTTTTTTTTTTTTACTTTATGTAAGAATTATTCTCTCTATGACAGGATTTATCTCAAGTGTGTTTGGATTTTTTGTTTGTTTATTCTGTGAACAGTTTTCCAACGCAGCACTTTAGGGGCATATTCAAAAGCCATCCCTAGCAGAGAGATTCGGTTTGTCAACATTGGCTACCACACGCATATTCTTCCATTCTCTTCTGTTGTTGTTTTTAGTCCAATTTTCTCAAGTGGGTTGAACTCCGTGTTCGGCAAATGGGACCTCCCTATCTTCACCCTGCCCTTCAACATGGCATTGACCATGTACCTTTCGGCCACAGGACATTACAATCCATTCTTCCCAGGAAAATTGTTCTCACCCATAGCCTCAGTTCCCAATGTCACCTGGTCTAAACTCGATGGCCTGAAGGTAAGATTCACGATCTCTTCACATTCCCCCTGGCTCCATCCTCATGGTTACTCGTCCATGGGCCTCAGAGCCTTATGGAGGCTCAGTTGGGGGGGGGGGGACTTCCTGTGTTCATTTTGCTAGCTAAAGCATTTGTTCTTCTCCAAAGCTTTGGGCTTTAGGGGTTTTTTAAAATGACTATTTGGTCAAAGCTAACTTTCCCTAAGATCTGCAGTGCTAATTCCAGAACATAGCTCCATTGGAAATCACACATTCTATTGCAAACTTGGCCCTTGTTTGGATGGGTGAGATGGGGGCTAGCCACTGATGCAGGAGCACTCCACCTGGGGCTAAGCCCTCCATGACCTGCCAAAGGACTGGCTGCTTACTGTTTTACCCACCACAGAACTGCTCTGTTCTGCCTTTTCTTATCTTTGATCTCACAGAATAAGTACAATAATTCTGGGTCCTCAAGCTTCAGTAGGCATCAGAATCATTGTTTTTTAAGTACCAATATGAGCACCATCTCAGACTTCCTAAATAATAATCTCCAGGGGTGGGGCCTGGGAACCTGTATAGCAAGCCCCCAAATACTTGTGCTGTGGGCCAGAGTTTGAGAACCACCCTGAAGGCTGTATACTATGTACCTCTTTACAGATGTGCATAGAGAGAACACCATTTTTAAACACCTGGTTAACCCAAATAAAGTTCCAGCTCTTCCTAATGGTGTTTATTTAATAAATACCTTTGTTTTCATGATTCTCTCAGTTGAGAGAACACTTGAAATCAAAAGAAAACCAAAGAAACCCTACTTTTTCTCATGTGCAAAAAACTGGCTTTCCCACTGTGAGGTTATAAAACACCTTTTGCTGTCCTCTGTGCTGGGTGATCAAAACATGTGAGAAGCTTACGTAGACTTTTCTTTAGTTTCTTGCTCAGAAAATGAATGGGAGCATTTGGAAATAACTCAGAAGGAAAATAAAAAGAAACGTATTATAACTCCCCATTAAAAATTAGAGTATTCATTGATCGACCTATAATAGTACTGTCCAATACAGTAGCTGTTAGCCCCATGTGGGTATTTTAACTTAAATGTAAAATTAATTAAAATGTAAGATTACAGTTGTGCTCCTTTGCCTCACTAGCCACATTTCAGGTGCTCGATAGACACATGTATTGGACAACAAAGGTACAGAATATTCCAAGATCATGCGAAGCTCTGTCAGACAGTGCTGGTCAAGGGAAGTGGGGATCTTGTCCTTCCCCTCCCTCTGAACTGCCACCTCAGCATCAGCACTTATTTCCCACCTCACCTGACTCTCCACTCCTGGCTACCTGAGGATTGGTTCTGCTGGATGTGCCTGTGTCCAGTTCTCTGGTCTAGAAGAAACAGGAAGTAATCTTGTGTAGACATGAAAATCCAGCATGGGCAGGAAGAATTTAGGGTCCAGCTTAGGGTAGGATCAAACTCATAGTATAGACCTGCTTCTGAATTGTGGATAAGATCACCTGACTTCATTAACCACCAGATTGCATGGGAACAATAATATTTCTATGGACTGTAGAGATGCATGGATGGACTGGCCCCAGCAGGGATGGACAGTTGAAAGCAGTAGACGTATAAGTGGTGATCCCTGCCACCCTCATGGGGAAGCATGGGAGATCCCCACAGTGGGTCAATGGCACCACAGTTACCAAGGCCACGTGTCTGTGCAGGCAGGAGAGCAGGGAGTGGAGGGGGGAGTGGGGGTGTTGAGAAGGCTTTGAGTACACCAGGGAAAGGCTGGTGTATCTCTGGGAATAAAGCAGAAATAGGATTGAGATTTTTCTGTAAAGAGAGAGGGAGAATTTTTTAAATTAATGACACTTATCTCAAAAGATTAGATATGCTAAACCTAAAATTACTTCATATGTGCTTGTGGGTGTCCTATGAGTTTCTGTCCAGTTATTTTAATGACTTATTTCCTAAATTATTTTTGCAGTTACTGAAATCCCTGCCTGTGGGTGTTGGTCAGATATACGGCTGTGATAATCTGTGGACGGGGCTCATTTTCCTGTGCGCCATCCTGCTTTCCTCCCCACTCATGTGCCTGCACGCTGCAATCGGGTCGGCGATAGGGGTAGCAGCAGGTGAGCAGGCATGGAGAGCACCTCCTCCACCCCGGGTGTTGTTCAGGCACCTTCTGTACTCCAGACCTTTCTCTGCCCCAAGGGACCAACAGTTGTCAGTTGCTGCCTCCACCCGAGGCCCCTTCCAGAGCACCCTGCCTTGTGTCCGTCTGCTGCTCTGACTGCTCCTGTCTTATCTAACAGCGCTCAGCCTCTCGGCTCCGTTTGAGAACATCTACTTTGGACTTTGGGGTTTCAACAGCTCTCTGGCCTGCATTGCAATTGGAGGGATGTTCATGGCGCTCACCTGGCAAACCCACCTCCTGGCTCTCGCCTGTGGTGAGTAATCCGTGCATCTAGGGGGGAGGGGTGCTGGGCACTATGGGATCAAAATCCAGGACCAACAGTACAAAAGGAGACACTAGAGCTGGGGTTCTTGTTTGGGACCCGTGCTCTCCAAGTGTGTGACCAGGGCGCGTGACATCCCCTTTCTGGGAGTATTCGAGTCGGCTCTGCCCAGCTAGGTGGTGACTGAGACGGGAGAGCCTGTTGAAAGGTACTCTCCATTTTGTCATATGTGTATATTGGGTCATAGAAACTCAACTTGTCCTGTGTTCTTCACACTAATCATTTGACCCAAGAAACGAAACGGAAATAACTCAAGCTAAATGCAGAGCTATTTTCCCTGGTGACTCAGGTAGAATTTTGTGCGGCCCTTGGAGGATCACCTTCATCCAGCTCTCCTCAAGCTTGAGTGTGCATCAGAACTGCCCGGGAGGCTTGTTAAAATGCAGACCTCTGGGCCCACCCTCAGACCCTCGCTCACAGTTAGAGGTGGAGGAAGGAGTTTGCATTTCTAACCAAGTGTAAGTGGGAACTGGTGCTGGTGCTGTGGGGACCACACTGTGAGAACTGCTGCATTAACCCTTTCTGATCCCTGCATTCTAGCCAGACTCAGCCCACAGAGCTAGACGGGGCTCTGGAGAGCTCCACTCCATCCTTCTCATTTTATTGTTGAGGAACTAAGGCCAAAGGACATCCAGTCAGTGGGGGCGGGGGAATGCAGTGTAAATGCAAACCCAGCACCCACATTGGCTAACAACCTGAAACGTTAAGCCCAGGCCTTAGGTGAAAACACACTTCAGTGATTTAGATTTGAAAAGCTAATGAACTTCTCAGGCCATTGGGAGGGATGCTTGTTTTCCATAGCTTCTGATATTCCTAAATCAATACAACTAAAAGCACTTAAGATAATGTGCTAGAACCAGCGATTTCCAATCTTTCTCATCTCATGGCACACAAAGTAATTACTAAAATTCAGAATCCAAAAATATATATTTTTTGCTGATCTGACAAAAAATAGGTATGACTTTGATTCCTTCACACCAAATGTGTTGGCTGTTGTCATTTTTTAATTTAACAATCTAAAGGAAAAGAGGTCAGTGTCCCTGACTAAACAGTCGGGTGTTGCATGTTTTAAACATTCTTGCAGCATTCCAGTGTGCCACGGCACCACGGTTGAAAATCGCTGTGCTAGACTGAAGGGAATGACACTCCCTGGGTGACAAAGGGGTCCAGGGATAGTGGAATGTGCAGAAATTACTTCAAACCTAATGGGAATATTTGTCTAGAGCCAGTTTGTCACCAGATTAAGCAATCCAAGGTGTCTAAGTCATTACTAAAATGGCAGACCTCGTGTTAGGCAGGATTTAGAATGAATTTCTGCATTGGGCAGGGGGTGGGATGGGACCAAGGTTTTCCAAGGCCTCATTCAATTTTGATTTCCTGGCGCTGCAGCAAGGATAATAAAACTCAAGTGGCCACTTATATGTCATTTTGTAGTCACACAGCTATTTCCCCTAATAACCCTTTCAAAACTTTTTGCTCATTCTCTCATACTTGTTCAGAAGCTTAGGGCAAAAGAGAAGGCTCTAACAGATTATATGGCCACCTGATCTTAGCGGGGTTAGAATCTTTCTTCTGAGATTAGTTTGAGGTTTCAAACCTTTATTTGGAGTACATACCTTTACTTTTCTGTGTTGGCAGCAAATACATGTTAAACACTCATGATGCAGTCCCAACAGTACTTATAAGACCTAGGGATTTGGAAGCTTTAGATCCCAGGTAGTTCTTGATCACAGAGAGTTACAGTTAAGGGCAGAAGTCAGATGAGTAAGAGAGAGAGCCCACAGGAGCCCATATGACATTTACAGTAGAACAAGGAAACATCCACAGTGCAAGATTCTTAGGGGAACACTGCAGTTTAGAATCATTGAGATGTACCTCCTAGAGAAGCTGGCTTTTCCATAAGTCCTAAACACTGGGAGGAGAAATTCCTGTTGGTGGAGAGGGTGGTCAGGGCCAGCATGAGGACAGCCTGAGCCCATCCTTAAAGGTCAAGCAGAAACTGTTTTGGTCACAAGAGTTGTGGATGAGGCCTTGACAGACTATGGAAAGAGGTGAAACCAAAGATTCCTGAGGATGTATTTCCCCAAAGCAGGAATATCTTCATTATTTTCTTTAGTATAGAAGTAACACTGGCTAATTGAACAAAACAAAACAAAGTTCTGTCAATACAGTGAAGTATGAAGCAGACAGTGGTCATTCTTCATCCTACACTCTGGATAGAACTTTTTTGCCTCCCTCTTATCAGGACCCTGTGATTACATTGGGTCCATTCGGATGACCCCGGGTAATCTCCCTCTATCAAGATTTCTTAGTCACGGCTGCAAAGTCCCTTTGCCGTGTAAGGTAACATACTCACAGGTTCTGGGGATTAGGACGGAGACATCTTTAGGGATCTTGACTCTGCCTCCCATGCCTACCTTCCTTTGAGGGGATCAGATTTTCTTTACTAGTTTAGCATAAAGATTAAGGCAGTATATTGAATCAGTTAAGAGCCCACACCCTGGTGCCAAAATTCCAGCTCTGCCGATTTTAATTTTAATAGATGCCAAATTCATCCCACAAAAGCCATACCAATGTCCTCTGCCGCCAACAGTGTATAAAGGTGTCTGTTTCAGCACACTGGGTACTCTCAGTGTTTTTCATTTTAGACATCAAGTTTTGAGACAGACCTCCAGCCCCTCTTGTCAAGCAAATATCACGTGTAAAATGTCATGGCAAGTTTCAGCTTGCCCACATCACCCTGATGCTGTCAAAGAAAACTCAACCTTGTCAGCCAGGGTAAATAAATAACAGTTATTTATGACAGAGGTGCCCTACTATATGGCTTTTTCAGGAAAGAAGACTTGGCAAACTCTGATAGAGCCTGCCAAAGCTGCCTTCCCTGCCTCTAAACCAGGGAATCCCTCAATTTTGTTATTTTATCAATGCAAAATGTAAACACATTTTGTACCTCTTTTGCGTGGCCAGGATATGATGGTAGGACTCACACATGGTGGTCTGTTGGGAGGGACATTGTCTATGAAGAATGGAAATCTAGTCTTCCCTTCAGCACTCAAGGGCCTTTTCTCTCCCTCGACTATCCAGAACACTGTCAGGGTCATCAGCTACAAACTGTGATGTGCAGAACTTACCTCTAATGAAGGCTTTCCCAGCCCAACTCAGCAAGTCTTAGTTGATGGGCAGCTGCTATTAGATAGTCTGACACTTACTATGGACAGAAAAGCAACTTGGAATTGGAGATCACTTAGAACACCAAGTTCAATATAAGACTTGAACACAAACTTTGCAGGCCAGAAGGGAGTGGCAAGAAATATTCAAAGTGATGAATGCCAAGAACCTACAACCAAGATTACTTTATCCGGCAAAGCTATCATTCAGAATTGAAGGTCAGATAAAGAGCTTCACAGATAAGGAAAAGCTAAAGGAGTTCATCACCACCAAACCAGTATTATATGAAATGCTGAAAGGTATCCTTTAAGAAGAGGAAGAAGAAGAAAAAGGTAAAGATACGTGAATATAATAGAATCAGGGGCATAGAAAGGGGTGGGAACCAGGTGGAGGGGAGCTATGGGGAGAAAAAAGAGGAACAACTGTAATAATCTGATTTAATTTTAAAAAAAAGACTTGAACACCAAGATTGTGCCTTAGAAGTGCAATAGGCATTAAAAGGAGAGAAATGGTGATAATGTCTCATGTGCTCAGGAAATGTGTCAGAAGAGCTGGTACTCAAGAGAGCAAGGATAGAGTGTCCCTAGTGCTTAACTGAGGGATAGTGAATATTTGTTGAATAAGTGAATGAATGAATGAAATGGGGAAAAAAGAATAAAATGATGGAAACCAAGCACAGAAATCCTTTCAACCCTTCTGCTCAGAGCAATATCTCAATCCTGTGATGACAGGGGTGAGTTGACAGCTGCTGTTGTGGAAATACACTATTTCATTTGAGATTCACCACCTCCTTGTAAAATACACCTCCAAGTTACCTTGTTACAGACTATGAGACTAGATTCTGAGAAGTTAGGTGATTTGTTGTACAACAAACAAAACAGCAGAGCTTGGATTTGAAGTCCAAACTGGTTCCAACGACGAGCCTTTCCCACGAGCGTGAGACAATTCAGATGTGAAAGAATTAGGTATACTGTTGAACAAAAATACCAGGATAAAAAGACAAAATATTGATAAAAGGATGGAAATGAGGATCACAGAGTTCCTCCCACCATTTCCTGTCCCGCCCCCCCAAGATAGCTGGTGTGATTTCTCACCAGACAGGAAGACTAGGTGGTGAGTATATCTCAGTGTGTGCTGGTGGCCCAAGGGTGTGTGCAAATCATTCCTCAGGCTGCTTTCCTGAACCTCTCTGAGCCCCCTCTTCAGCCAAAACTGAAGAATTAATGATTTGCTAGTTGAGATCTTTGTTTTTGCTGTTTTACATTGGAAGTTACACATACACTCAGATTACCTACTCTAAGATTCATGCTTTACTCAAAGTAAATTTAAAAATAGCATTTATGCTTTACCAAAAGTAAATTTAAAAATAGCATATTTATTTATTGGCTTGTATGCCAGCCTTAATGGTATTTGGAAAAATGTTATTCTGGGGAGGAGTTCCACATTCGTACTCAGTTTCTGCTGATCTCTGAGTTACTACCTTCTTCTTTTTTTAATACCATGACTTTTTTTTTGGTAACTGACTTAATTTGGGAATCCCAAATGCAGTATAGAAACCATACTACCTCAAGAAACATTCATAAGTTTCATTTTAATTCATTCTACTCTGCCTGGATAAAATAACAGGAAAGTTTATTTGCTATGGAAGGATTTTTTCATAAGTATCAGCAAAGCAGCAACAAGATAGCAACCACAGAAAAGATACCTTTATTGAGCACTTACTGTGTGTTAAGCCCAAGCATTACCTCCTTTCATGCTTGCACCAGCCCTGTGAGAGGAATGTTCCTATAACCTCTGTTGTGCAAATGGTGGAGTCTGGATTCAAACCCAGAGCTGCTGACTCCAAACACATACTTGCAACCAGGGTTCTGGGCTAGCTGGCAAAATGTGGATGTTTACATTCCAAGGGATTTATACCACAAGGAAGCCCTTCCCACAATGAAATGAAGCCTAACAGGCATTGTTCTCTCTTCTTTTTCTGTAGCCCTGTTCACCGCCTACCTGGGAACCAGCATGTCACATCTGATGGCTGTGGTGAGTTTGCTTTATCAACAGCATGACTGGTCAGCTTTCCGTGATATGGAAACCCTCCTGAAGCCCATGTGGGTGGTGTCCCAGGGCAGGATCCATGACTGGGACAGCCACCACTTTCCCTTTCCTTGCACCTGTCTGTCCTCACCTTCCAGCATCACGGTAAATTTTGGTCCAAATTAAAGTCACCAGGCTTGTTAAGAATATCAGATTGCTTAGTTTAAGGAAGTGAAATTGAGGTTGTATAACATAATACCAAGTTTAGACTCTAACTGTGAGTATCAGGAAGTTGACTTTAGAATATATTTTACTGCAACAGAAAGCCAGGACTATGTAGTAGTTGAGAAAGCAGGAAAGGGAGGAAAGATAATTAGCTAAAGACTCAATTTTTTTTAATTAAGCCAATCATTTTTCATATCCCTTATCTTATTTTAAGTCCCCAGTCACTCAATAGGATTTATTTAGACCCATGTCCTGGATTAATTAATGAATAGGCAAAATCATTGCCCATTAAGGGTCCCCTGCCACTATCTCCTCTTTCTTTTCAGCACTATCTGGCCCTTTGATTTTCTTTTTCCCCTTCCCTGAGGAATCCAGTATGACTATTCCAGGACCCCCCTCCCCCACCTCCCAGTGCCCTGGACTTTCTCTCTTCACCCCCCTTGCAGGTGATGCAGAGCAGTTTCTGATAGCTCCATCCATGTGGATGTGATCATGGCTGCTAATAGGTCAAGACAGTAACTAGTCCTCTCAACAGCAGAATAGAGAGTTTATCTGGGAGGGTTGCCTGGAGACACAATATCTTTCTGGTAGAATGTCAAAGCGCCATTACAGGCATGGCAGGCAGTGTAGTAGAGCATTGTGGGGCCCTTCCTATCCCAACAAAGGTCCACAGACATCAATCCACAGACCAGAATTGGATGGGCTGTACAACAGAGTCAGCTAGGAAGAAAGATTTTCAAAAACACAGACCCTTAGGCCCAGTTCCTTGACATTCCTGATAAAGTGGATCCGACCTGTTGTTTGGACATCTGTGTTTTTAACCCCCTTCCCAGATTATTCTGATGTGCAGCCAGGTTTGGGTACCATCACACCCATGGGGTCCTTGCATAGGGCATGTGGTGTATGCTCAGAATCTCATGAGTCACCATGGATAGCACAGGAGAGAGACTTACCCTCAAGGAGCTTAGAATCTATTTGGGAGACAGAGTGAAAAAGAAGGAAAGCAAGTAGAGTCTAAGACCTAGTCTGGGTGGAAGTCAAGGGGTAGAGAGGTCACTCTGGGCCTTGTGGATGTGATGAATGGTCGGGAGCCATTGGGGATTTGCCAGGTGTCATCTCTGGGCCAAGTATCGTCTTTTCACGTCTGGTGTTAGAAGTCTAAATGTCTGAGAACAAGGGAAAGATATACAAGATGGAAATATAGCTGACCCCCTGAAAGAATGGATGATGACATTTCAACTGCTAAAGGCCCTGAGCTCAGATTCAATCTCCATGGGCATAAGCAGAGTCCAGAGCAATGCCCGCCCCCCCCCCCAACACACCCCCCCACCCGTGGCA